AGCGAGCTTGCCACGCATGTCCGCCGTCTCCAGGAGGGTCTCGTTATTTGCGATCTTGTTGAGCTGTGTCAACGTACGTAAGCGTCTACATGTCTTGTCGATGTCGGCATCCCTGGGACTGATAGAGGGGTCACCATTTCGCAGAGGCTGAACAGACCAGTTATCGAAAGGGTTGTTTGAGGCTGCTATCACCGTAAAGCATGAAGTGATGAGGAAGAGGGGAAGGCGCATTGTCAATTGGAAGTATGTGATGAGAATGTCTAGACGAGAATGAGAAGGGGCAGCTTCAAATCTCCATCGTTTTCGGCGAGAGCTGTCAGTGTTTCAATCTCTTCTCAGTTGCCGCAGAGCCGCAACGAAGATGTAGATATGCGACGTTTCATGGCAAGTATGCTCTAACGTTTCCAGTTACGATGGATAGCTCTACCTGGCGGTTGCATGATTGCATTGGATTGGTGGATACGGTTCACTTGATGACAATATACCTGTGAAGTGAGGAAGCTTCGCTATGACCAGGAGATGGTGTTAGTTGCAGGAGTCATCCGTCGTCGATGGCTAGGTATGGCGGGGTGCTATCGATAAGCGGCTGAGTCACGCTAATGGCGGGGATCGGAGGAGTCAACTCTAGGTTCTAGAAAAAGATTCCCCGCCACGGCTCTGTCTCAGCATACTCACGCCGCCACCATGTCTATGAACTTTCCGAGCGAGGAGGAGCGCATCCTCGCGCGCTGGAAGGAGATTGACGCCTTCCAGAGACAAGTCGAGCTAGTACGTGACCATGCTACAGCCTAGTGAACCCAAGCACGTGTGGTCGACACTTGCTAACTCGCCATAGTCGAAAGGAAAGCAACCATACACTTTCTACGATGGACCGCCTTTCGCGACAGGAATGCCGCATTATGGCCATCTCCTGGCCTCGACCATTAAAGATATTATCCCCCGCTACTGGTCCATGAAGGGCCGCTATGTCGAGCGACGGTTCGGCTGGGACACCCATGGTGTGCCCATTGAGTACGAGATCGACAAGGAATTGGGCATGTCGGGACGCGACGCTGTACGCGAAATCGGAATCGCCGAGTACAACAAGAAGTGCCGCGCGATTGTCATGCGATATGCGACCGAATGGAGGGCGACTATCGACCGTCTGGGTCGCTGGATCGACTTCGACAACGACTACAAGACTATGGACACCAGCTTCATGGAGTCGGAGTGGTGGGTCTTCAAGCGTCTCTTCGACAAGGGTGCCGTATACCGGGGTTACAAGGTCATGCCCTACAGCACAGCGTTGGCGACGCCTCTCAGCAACTTCGAGGCCTCGCAGAACTACAAGGACGTTCAGGACCCAGCAGTAGTCGTCACATTCCCGCTACTCGAAGACCCGAACACGTGCTTGTTGGCATGGTAAGCTACTTACTCCAACCCAGTGCTACTGGCGTGCGCTGACCAGCCCGAACAGGACCACCACGCCATGGACACTCCCATCCAACACCGGTCTCTGCGCGCATCCCGATTTTGAATACGTCAAGATTCTCGACGAAGCGTCCGGCAAACACTACATCCTACTCGAAGCCCTGCTACGCACACTATACAAGGACCCGAAGAAGGCCAAATTCAAGATTGTGGAGAAGCTGAAGGGCAAGGATATGTTGGGTTGGAAATACGAGCCCCTATTCGACTACCTCTACGACGATTTCAAGGACTACGGCTTCAAGGTTGCGAACGACACCTACGTCACAGCAGACAGTGGTGTGGGTATCGTTCATCAGGCCCCCGCATACGGAGAGGACGATTACCGCGTTGCAAAGGCCCACGGTGTCATCTCCGACACACGACCGCCACCCAACCCAGTCGATGACCAGGGTCGCTTCACCGCGGTTGTCCGCGACTTCGAGGGCCAACACGTCAAGGCGGCCGACAAGGGCATCATCAAGCATCTGAAAGGCACTGGTCGCTTGATCGTAGACTCACAACTTCTCCATAGCTATCCCTTCTGCTGGCGTTCTGACACACCCTTGATCTACCGAACGGTCCCCTCCTGGTTCATCAAGATCCAGGACATTGTACCGCAAATGCTGGAGAACATTGCTGGTTCGCACTGGGTTCCTTCCTTCGTCAAGGAGAAGCGCTTCGCCAACTGGATCACCAACTCACCCGACTGGGCTGTTTCACGAAACCGTTTCTGGGGTACGCCACTTCCGATATGGGTCAGCGATGACGGCAAAGAGGTGGTCTGCATTGGCAGCGTGGAGGAGCTGAAGAAGCTCAGCGGGTATGAGGGTGAGCTAACCGACATTCACCGGGATAAGATCGATCACATCACCATTCCCAGCAAAGACGGCAAGGGTGTGCTCCGAAGAACAGATGAGGTCTTTGACTGCTGGTTTGAGTCTGGTTCCATGCCCTACGCTAGTGCGCATTACCCATTCGAGAACGTGGAGCAATTCGAGAAGTCCTTCCCTGGTGACTTCATTGCCGAAGGCCTCGACCAAACTCGTGGCTGGTTCTACACACTCACCGTCCTTGGAACACATCTCTTCGGTAAGCTTCCTTTCAAGAACTGCGTTGTCAACGGAATCGTACTTGCGGAAGATGGCAAAAAGATGTCAAAACGTCTCAAGAACTACCCTGACCCCAACTTGATCATGACCAACTACGGTTCTGATGCGCTGCGGTTATATCTCATCAACTCTCCCGTCGTTCGTGCCGAGACACTTCGATTCAAGGAAGCTGGTGTCAAGGAGATTGTTTCCAAGGTTCTTCTGCCTCTTTGGAACAGCTACCAGTTCTTCGAGCAACAAGTTTCGCTGCTGAAGAAGGTCGAGAGTCTGGACTTCGTGTTCGACCCGGCAGCTGGAAAGACCAACAAGAACGTGCTCGACCGATGGATCCTCGCGTCCACCCAGTCGCTGCTAAAGTTCGTGAACGAGGAGATGGCTGCGTACAGGCTGTACACCGTGGTTCCGCGGTTATTGGAGCTCATTGACAACACAACAAACTGGTACATTCGCTTCAACCGTCGCCGGTTAAAGGGTGAGCACGGTCTGGAGGACACCAAACACGCTCTCAACACCCTCTTCGAAGTTCTCTACACACTCTGCCGCGGTCTCGCGCCCTTCACACCCTTCATCACGGACAACATTTACCTGCGATTACTACCTCACATCCCCAAGGAACTGCACGCGGAAGATAACCGAAGTATCCACTTCCTTCCTTTCCCAGAAGTGCGCGAGGAGCTGTTTGACGAGGATGTCGAGCGCCAAGTCAAGCGCATGCAGTCAGTCATTGAGCTTGGCCGTATCTGCCGTGACCGTGCCAACAAGGGCTTGAAGATTCCGCTGAAGACGCTGGTGGTCATCCACCCAGAACAACAATATCTTGACGACATCAAGTCATTGGAGAACTACATCCTGGAGGAGCTGAACGTCCGCGATATCGTGCTCTCTAGCGATGAGGAGAAGTACAACGTCCAGTACTCAGCTACGGCCGACTTCTCCGTGCTTGGCAAGAAGCTGAAGAAGGACGCCATCAAGGTCAAGAAGGCGCTACCAAACCTCAAGAGCCAAGACATCAAGGACTACCTAAAGAATGGCGAGATTGTTGTGGACGGAATCAAGCTTGAGGCTGAAGATTTGATGGTCAAGCGCGGTCTCGCAAAGGACTCTAGCAACAAGGACCAGGAGTTCAACACAGACAACGATGTCCTCATTCTCCTCGACGTCGCCTCATATCCAGAGCTCGAGCAAGAAGGCCTCGCTCGTGAGGTCATCCGCCGTGTACAAGATCTGCGCAAGAAGGCCGGACTGGTGCCAACCGACGACGTAGGCATGGAGTACCGAGTGCTGAGCGATCCGGAAAGTGTAGGACTGGAGCAGGCGTTTGAGAACCAGGGCCCATTGTTTGAGAAGGCTCTGCGAAGACCTGTGGACAAGCACGTCATCACTGAGGTTGAGGGCAAGATCCCGGAGAACAGTAACGAGAAGGTCATTGCGGAAGAGGAGCAAGAGCTCCACAAGGCGACTTTCATGTTGCGGTTGATCAAGCTATAGTAGCTCCCTGCAGTGGTTCGATAGTATCGTGGCGCGCATGACTTGTTGATGAAATGAAATCAGAATTTCTATGTGTACAATTAACGCCTTCGTATGCTGTGTGCTTGAAAGATGTTGATGTGTCGCTACAAGTGCCGTCACCGCTGCTTATACGCCCTCTGTGCGTGGTGTTAGTCGTGTTGCCTTTTGATGCTATAAGGAGACATTACCAGATAGCACTCCTTCAACTTCATGAACTCATTGACGCACATGTCTTTCCGTACATTGTTGTAGTCTGCGAAGATACATTTGCCGTATACTGCGCTCTGGAGTATGTCAGCATCGAGTTGAACCTGGCTGTCACTGAGGGGCGTATCATACCTCTGTCGAGCATTTTGCAGCCGCTGTAGCGAGTTTATCGATGGGACGTGTTCGACCGGGCATCTCGAGTAGTACTGAGTATTTCTCTCGTGTAGTATGAGCAGAAGTGTTATTAAGAAGTAGCTCCTCCAAGATACGTGAAGTTCTTTGGACACGGCGAACCCACGCTCTTCCACCTCGATGAGGTCAACGAACAGGGCCCACCCAACTAAAGCCTTGGCGGCCTCGCATCCACGAACGCGGGCGGCCAACCACTCCAACAACAAAGCGCGTCGCCGCAACGCCAAAACGCGGGCGCACCAACAGCCCTTCATCGCTCCTCTCTTCTTACTTTGGACTTGTAATGCTTAATTGTTGCGCGACGAACCCACGACTCCTTTCTCGCATGCCGCTGCTTTTTGGTTGCTGTTCGAATCATTACAGCCGCCGGTCCCTTCCATGTTGTCGCGAACGCGCCGGAGACGAACGAGTCGCGTGCACGAATGCTATCCTCCATGAGGCTGAATGGAGATGATGCGAGGGCTATAACAGCTGATGATCTTTGTCGGGATGAAGGTAAAATAATCAAAGGAATTGGTCGATAAATATACTAACATGGCCATAGTCTCTGATGCCATTCACAATATCGTCCTTCGCGCGCAAGACTCCCACGATGGATCCATTGACGCCCTCTTCGTCGCATATGACGAATATGTCAAGGAGCACCGTTCTTCGCCTACCGATGCCGCTCTCTACTACAGTTTCCTGTTGCGCATGCAGGAATATGGCCGGGAAGGCGAGGACCTGATGGCGCTGGTTCTGCGCGTGGTGAAGGAGCATTTCGGTCTTAATGGAGAACTCGGCGACGAAGAGGTCGTTGAAGTTCCGAACAACATTGACGCGACGCGTAGAGGGGCGCAGGCGAGCTTAGGGCGGTACACGAGAACCGGGAGCTTCGACTCGTTCCTTGATGGCACGGCAGACAAGGTCGCGGGCACCGACTATGGCGATTTGGCTGTGCGCCCGAGGCGAGCATCACAGCAGAATGCTCCTGACGGCTATGCCAACACGCGCAACCACCGGCGCGCAACGTCAGACACCGAAGCGCATTCGTACCGGCCAGCGCCACTGCCCAGTCACCCCAAAGCGAATGGCATCGCGCCTCGGAGATCAAGTTCCGGACCGCAGCCGCCAGTCCACAAGCGCAGTACATCTGTCTCAAGTTACGGCAGTCTGCGAATTCGAAGAAATCCTACAACGACATACAGAACTGGAACTCACGATGCAGACGAGAGCGATTTCACCGACCACACGGCTAGCCTCGACCTCTCCTCCATCCAGATACCAGGAGTGAACGCGCCCATACCGAACGATCCCTACGATTCCCCGCACCAGCGCCGCCTTCAGCAATCACGACAGACACAACACCAACAGTATGTCCCCGAACCGTTTCGACCCTCCGATACCCGATTGATGGACGATGCGGAGACTTTCGAAGAGCAACGGTTACATCGAGTAACGAGAGAGTGTATACGGATATGGCGGAACCGCACGCAAGAGCGCATGAATCTGCGCGACGATATGGAAAGAGCAGCCGTCGCCTTCGATCGTCGTGTTCTGCTCAGGGCCTCCCTCTTGCAGCTACGAGACACCGCGCTTGTGAGGCGTTCTGGCCGAGAGACGAATCGCTTCTTCGATCGGCTGGAAACCCGTGCAGACAAGGCTCGCAGTCTATTTCTGCTCACAAAAGCCTTTACGCACTGGGCAAAGTGCGCGGAGGATGAGGTCCAACGAACATCGGTTGCGCGACGGCATATTCTACGCACACGCTTCTTCAACGGCTGGCGCGATATCACGGCAGTCAACGAGCTGAAGATCCAGCACTTTGCTCTTGCAAAGTTCCTCTCTATATGGCGAGCACGCGCAGCAAAAGTGCAGGATCGCAATGACTTCGCTGAGTCATACTATGAAGAGAAGATTGTCAGGAAGTCGTGGAATGCTCTCAACAACGAGTACCTCAACAGAGGCGCAGCCAACTGGCATGACACAAGGACAGCAAGGACAACACTGCAGAAGTGGCGCGAGATCACCGAGATCATGAGGGAGCGGAACATGTGGGCCACGGATCGGCGCGATGGAACACTCATGCGCAAGACGTTCCGGACGTGGCAGCAGAAGACAGTGGCAGTAAAGACACTGCAAACCCAGGCGGACCAATTCAGACAGACCTCCCTCCTTCGCACGACGGTTCAGACACTCCAGAGGCAGGCACAGCTCGAGCCACTACTGCGCCAGGTTCAAGCACGCACCAATGGTCGTTTGCTTCGTGCAAAGTTCCAGAATTGGCGCAAAGACGCTCAGCTATCCCGTCAAGCACGCAATGTTGACCGCATGCGCGTCTTACGCAATGCCTACACTGCCTGGAACGACAGATTGAGAATCAAAGCTCTCGAGGATCGGATCAACGACCGCATCATTGTTGAATGCTTGTACAAATGGACCTTAGCATCCCGAGTATCCCTCTTTCAGCGTGTTCACGATCGACAGCTCAAACAGTCAACATTCCTATCCTGGGTCACCAAGACCAACCAGCGCGTCAACACTCTTGATACTGCGGAAGTTCGGTTCGCCCAATTCAAGCGTGCTCAACTGATGCGGACATGCTTGCGCAAGATGGAAGCTATCACTACGGAGAGACGAAGGGAGCAGTTCGCTATTCTATCCCAATATCAGCAAAAGCTCAAGCAACGCATTTTCGACAAGCTCAAGGAGAGGCTAGCACACTTCCAAGAGTTGAACCAATGGTCGGCCGATGCGCGCTTCTACGTCCTTAGCAAACACACACTGAACACATGGAGCCAAGCCACACAACATGCGCGCCGTAATCGCAGACGCGACACATACTCGCAAGTTCGTAGAATGGTCAAGACGAATCTCGTGCGCAGAGTCTTTGAGCACTGGCGGGACAAGGCAAACCACATTGCAGTGCTGACACAAAGGGCAACCGATGTACTCGACAATCGCACTTTCCAAAGCAGTGGCGCAATCTTGCACCAATGGCACGACCGCACGCTCATACTCCGCCAGCAGGATGCCCAAGCCGAGAGCCTCCACGCCTTCAAACTCTCCACCCGTTACTTCGCCATCTGGTCACAACGCATGGACCTTGTACACACACTTGAAGGGCAAGCTGTCGCCCTGCGGCAGGAAAGCACGGAGATTGCTGCTACCGGTGCTCTGAAGAAGATGGGTTGGCGTCTTTGGAACTTCCAGAGGCAAGAGGAGAACGCTAGAGCGTTGTTCGAGAGAAACTTCGAGAAGCATGTTAGGGCCATGGTTCGTTTCTGGGCCGAGCGTGCTACCGAGCGGCGTGGCCAACGGGCAGCGAGTCCATCGCCTCCTAGTAGGTCGAGAAGACGAAGACAAGATGATGGCGATGACTACAACGGCCACGGAAATGACGAAGACTTCGCCTACGATGACGGCAACAACGATGCCGGGCAAGGAGGCCTTCCGCAATCCGGCGACGAAACGCAACGACTCGAGTCCTGGACCGCCTTCGACGAGACCGCTTTGGGTCTTAACAACGATCTCGACCTCTCCCTGTCCCTCACGCCAGAACAACCACCCCGCCATCCAACACTGACCCCCAACCCCCACGCTCCCATACCCTCACCCGCATCAACCCGCCCCCAAGGCTCAATACTCCGTCGGCCCAATACCTACCCACAACCCCAATCCGCCGCTCGCCCCCCTCCCGCCACCATCCCCGAAGACGACGAATCCGACCTCTCCTTCGGCGACGCCGCACAATCCACTTTCTGGTCCGGAACGCCCTTGCCCCCTCCTCCTACTACAACCAGTAAACCAGGCTACCTCAAAACACCCAGTAAACGTAGCGTTGTCCGTGCTAAACGACCTGAACTCCCGCCTAGTCCTGAGAAAGCACGCGTTCTTTCTCCTGTGAGGCGACCGCTGGGCTCCTCGTTCCTGGAGAGGGAAGGAAGGGGTAGGTTGGGGACTATGAGTGCGCCGCCTGTGCAGAGTGCGAGGGATGTGAGGTTGGGAGTTGGTGGTGTGACGAGTTTTGAGAGGAGGTTGAGGGAAGGTGGGTTTGGGGGGAGTGTTGCTGTTGGTGGGAGCGGGAGTGGGAGTGCGATGAAGAGGGGGAGGCCGAGAGGTGGTAGGGCGAGAGTGGGGTTTGGAGAGGTTAGTCAGATGGGTGGGTTGTGAAAAGTAGGGAGGTCATGGTTCTGTTACATATCTTGTAAAGCATTGCGCGGCGTCTCCGCTTGGACGGATTGGTTTGGATGTGTTAGGATACCCCATATTGTTTGCTACCTTTATCCAAGTGTGCATAAGTTTGTCTCACTACATGGAACCACGCGTGAAAGACACCGCTAGTCCTCCGTAGATAAGTGAAAGCATGTCATCGATAGGCAGCTCACTCGCCTTCTCACAGCACGGTCCGCGCGTGAATTCACCCTCTTGCTTCTTCCGTCGATGTATATATGGTACCACCAGTCTACCTTCTGATCCCCCTCCCTCCCACCCACCGCCTCCACTCAATCTCTCAACCTTACACCCAAAGTTCACTCGTAACAAACATGAAGCTCTCCACGACTACCACCCTCCTCGCTAGCCTAGCATGCCTGGTGTCCGCCTCCGCCCGGCCAAAAGCCTCCGTACAAGCGAGCATCGCCACCGCTGGCAATCGTGCCATGCTCGCTCTCGATAACGCCAAACAGGCCATGTCCACGTTCACAGACACCGTTCAAGCCGCCATCAACTCCCTTGAGATGGATCCAGCTATAAAAGAGGACTTGAACGCCTATGTCAGCACGCTGAGCCGTCGAATCGATCCGTCGATCACCACTGTAGAAGAACTTATCGAGCTGTATGGTCCTGCCGCTAAGATCTGGCGTATCAACCAGGACACGCCTACACGTCAGCTTAAGAAGATTACGGATCGGATCAGTGCTATGTACAAGGAATACCCCGACTTTGACGACATGCCCGAGGTTTATCAAACAGAGATGAACGCGCTGTGGCGGGATTTTGCTGAGCAGATGAATCACGTTGGTGATTCACCGCTGAAGTCTAACGGTGGCCGCGTGTACATCTCTTCCAAGTCCCGTACCGAGGGCAAGCCGGCCAAGTCCGATGAAACGTCATGTCCATTCGTCAAGTTGTGGAAGCGACTTACTGACCGCACGTTTGTATTTCGGGGTGGTGAGATGGTTGAAAAGAAGGTAGAGAAGGAACAAGTGAAAGAGAGGCACACTTTAGTCATTGAGCGGAATGAGGGAGTGTTTTCGGTTTCTGACGGTGTTGCTAAGCGGTTAAGATCTTTTGATGTGGATGGAATAGACGAGGACGTTGAACTTTCGGAGGATGAATTGGCGCGAGTACAAAAGCGAGCTGAGAAAATTCGGAAGCGATATGACGAGTTTCGGAAGCAATATGATGAAGTTCGCAAGCGATATGATGAAGGTTGGAAGCGAGCTAGGGAAGATGACGAGAAGACTGACGAAGATCGTAAGAGCAGACAATTTGAGTTGTAGCATCTGGAATTTTCTCAGTAGCCGGTTAAGAAGCGCGACGAAGGAAGGCATCGAAGCGTCGAATAGACACGATGTCAGTATGTCAGATACATACAGGGGTGGTATAACCAATGTATCTCGACGCGCTGGTCTAGGGTTTTACGCGCGCATGCAGCTTACGGTGCGTGAATGGGCTACGCCGTAGTGGCGGGTATGTAGATCATGGTCTGTTGTTTGCCGATGAACATGCTTCCGTCAATTTGATTCGTCACTTCATCTGAAGATCCTCGCGGGTGTAAGACTTACCTCGCATCACCGCTGCACGTCTCACATCAGTTCATCTTCCATCCAATAATTACCCTACACTGTCATGCGCCTCGTATGTATGCGTAAGGCGTAGAATCATGTCATCACATACAAGACGACCTCATTTTCCCTCACAACCATTTCTCTCAACACCATCGCGCTCAACTCACCAGGTCAAGCCATCAATATGCACCCAACATCATCTCTCTTTCTCAGTCTCCTCGCTGCCACCCTCATAGCAGCCCAACTCTCCCCAGACATCAACTATTGCGAAGGCGACAAGAGCACATTGGGCCACTGCGACACACTCACCTACGAAGACACCACCCTCTCCGCAGCCAACCCACCCACCGCAACAGAATGCCAGGAGTCGTGTTTTAGTATCTTCGGAGACGCCGGCGAATGGGTCGTCCATCTAGAAGGTAAACCCACCCCGTACCTCCACTCATCACCCCACTAATACCGACATACCACAGGCAAACCAGAAGGTTACCAGCAACACATGCACCAATTTCCCTGCGGGTTCAGTATTGGTGCTATACCCAATACGCCGCATGAGTTCTCGTTCGATATGAATAATCAGGATATGGCTGATATTGTTGACGAGGCGGTTAAGCGGTTTGCGCATTTGCATGATGGGAAGGTGGCGGCACGGGGGACGGTGAGGTGTGATGGGCATGAGGCTATGTGGTATGTAAGTCGGGATGGACGGAATGGAGTATGATGGCGAGACTGAGAAGGAGGTGTACGTTGCTGCTAGTAGGTCATCTAGAACAGCTCAAAGAACTGCCGTTGTCTAAACACGATCATCACGGTTGGTTTGCTGTCTTGTGTAGAAGTGATTGATGCTACAGCGGGCTGACCTTGCTTCGCTCTCTCTCACTTGCGGCGTCGGCAAAACCCGTGGACCGCGGGACCGAATGCCGAGATTGCGCACGGAGCACGCTGACACTGACAGCTCTCGCGACGTGTGCGCTAACGACGCGTTCTCGTGTACATCCAAGCTGGAGTACGCCGACAGCGCGACGTCCCTCTGAACACGAGTCCATTGACACGGTGATGGCGGCTGCCGTATAGCCTCGCAGCCACTCGATCGAGTCAAACCCGCAGAAGCCCACGACGAATGCCATCGCAGCAGGCCCACCTCGCTTAGATCCACCAGATATGGCGGCTTTCTGACGACACAACAACATCATAGGAAGCTTCGACCATCTCCACATCCAGCATTCTGGTCGGGAGTCCAGACTATAAACTTTCAATGACGCAGGTGCGATCAGGATCGAAGTTCGGATGTGCGTTGGCGTACCGAAATTCGCAGAAATCGACGGGCATATTCGTTACGAGTTTACAAGCACCAATAACTGATCGCCTTCGTAGCCTCGCGCAAAGTCACAAGCGCAAAGCTCTGGTACATGTTGTGTATTAGGACGACGGTACATGACAACGTCGCTCCGCGGGTAACGTACAATTTGTGTATCTTCGGAACTACCGATGGCGCGCGGGCCGCCCCAGCGATCACTACATATGGGTGGAGATGATTTCCAGTACCCTCACTGTGCTACCCTATCAATCGACATAGAGGTGTGGGAACGATTTTCGACACTCTCGCTATGCCCTATCGATCAACATTAGAGTGAGGAAATGATCTTCGATAGCCTCGCCGTGTTCCATGATCTGCGGAGCAGTGCATTGGTGTTTGACTGACAACACCTTTGCGCAGCCCGTCATTTGCCCAAAAATTCGCAGCTGTACCCTCTGTTCGGCGATCACTGTTGGGGTCAACCTAGCTACTCCAGAGTACTAGGGGTATGGCTTGACAAGCTGCAGATAGGAGCTCTCAGCTCTGAGCGCATAGTGTTTGTTTCTTTTTCTTCGTAGTAAACAACTGGCGCGACGTTATATAGGTAGCTTCTCTCAGGTGTGGAAAGACCAGACTTCAATCACTCTACCTGCATTTCATCCAGAACCCTTCATATTCTCAAGCACACACGACAGCAAAATGGAGACAGCATACGCCCAAATTATGAGCATGTGCACCGAAGGCACCTACTTGTATACACCACCCTCTAACCTCGACTTCCATCCCGGCTCTTGCGGTTTCTTCGATGAAAATGGAGGGTGGCGAGTCATTACCGATCTTACTGAACTCAAGGAGCACAACCTCAACGAGTACAAGGCCCCTAAGAAGGATCTCGTTCTGACCAAGCCTGCTACATGCACATGGGACAAGAAGGTTGTCGAGAAGAACGAAGGCAGTGGTTTCGGCGCCAAAGCTGAGGTGTCCGGAATCGCTGCCCAAGCACCCGTGGACGTTGGAGCCAATTTCGCAGTGGGAAGTACTGCAAAAGCCGGCGCTGGTGTAGTTGTATCGCCAAACGTGGTGCACAAGAAGTTTAACATTGATGCGCGCAAGATCATTGAGGATTGGATTACGGACAACATGAAGCAATTAACGGACAACTATCTCGCATACATTATTCAGTTCGGCGTCTGGATCATCACAGCCACATGGAGCACGGAGAAGTGCAGTATTGCCATGTGGAACAAGACGGGCAGTAAGATCGACACCGGAGCCGAAATCGGGGCGACGAATATCGGCAAACTTGGGGTCAACAGTTCGCACGAGGTCCAGACTGACATTGACGAGCACAGAGTGTGGAATGTAGGTAGATCTCTTCTTATGTTCCTGGAACACTCATTACTAACAGCTAGTAGGAGCCTGGCGGCCACGCCATCTCTTTCAGTGGTATGCTGTTCAGACCGAGCAGAAAATTTTGGAGCAAGGTAAGTAACCCTTTTTGGTGGTCTTGCGAAAACACAATGCGGACACGTTTCCTCGGGGTTCACCATGGCTGACTAAAGGTATTAGAAATTGAAGCACATTCAGCGCCCGAAAGATGGCTCTCTCAGAGTTGAGGAAGCCATCTCCATCTCCATTGATGAGGACGAAGACGGAGACGTTCTTGATGAGAATGGGAATATCATCATGGAGAACGGACAGCTCATCGACAAGGATGGAAACTTCGTCGACAAGGATGGAAACCTCGTCGACGAGGACGGAGATCGTGTCGACGAGGATGGGAATCCCATCGATGAGGACGGAAACATTATTCCGGAATGGTCCACGGAAGTTATTGGGGAGAATTGAGCGGGCTCTTACACTTATTACATGCCCTTCATCTGCTTTGCATCTGCGCAACGTATCCTGCAGGCTTATCGATGATTAATCCGATCAGACCTGAGCCTCTAGAATCATACTTTGTAGCCGACCCAACGAATTCACTAACATTACTCTCTTCTCTTCCCCTCCCAAAGCAACCATCCTCTCTCCTTCATCGTCTTGCTCAGCTAACCACACACACTTGATCTCCGCTTCCATCGCAGGAACAACATCCCTATCCCAGCTGTCACCCACCATAACCACCTCCTCACCCTCCACACCAATCATCTCCAATGCCTTGCCAAAAAGGCCGTCAATCTTCGCGACACCAAGCTTATTCGTTGTAACGAGCCTGTCGAAATAGGGCTCTAAGCCCAAGGCAGCAACGGTACGTTCTTGTGAATCTTGAGGGCCTTCGGTGATGATCGCTATGCTCTTTCCTTGTTGTTTAAGTGTCCGAAGAAGTGATATAGCGCCTTCCTTGAGTTGCAGATTCTGCATAATTGCAGTTTCGTACGTGTCGAGCAATACCTGCATCTGCTGCTCCGTACAATCGATACCGAAACTCTTCATAACACCCTCAAAGCGCTCGGCGCGGTACTCATGGCTTGATTTCCCATCCACAAATGCGGCAGATGTGCCGGTTTTGAGGATCTTGAGGTATTCCGCTTTCAGCTCGACGACTGTGAGCGGCTCACCGGAAGAAAGTTCGTGGTGAGCGTGATTTTCTAGGATGAGACGGAGTGTCGCGTCTACGGCGGCGGAAGATGACTTGCGGAATTCGTGGAGAGTGTCGTCGAGATCGAAGAAGTACCATGTTGCGTTCTTGAGACGTTCAATTGTTGTGTTGTTGTGCGCTTCCATCTTGAGCCTCTAGGTAGTTAAAAGAACTTGACGTGGAACGAAATTGCGCATATAAATACCGAAACTTATACATGTAACAAAATATGTATATTGCGATAGTACAAATAACAAATAGAAGCGTTTTATTGATCTATGTGAAGTAGGTCGAGTTCTTGACGCTGTGGGGACTGATAGGGTTAGTACGCTTCCCCGCGCAACGTCGCAACGTCGCAAGCTCGCAAGCACGCAAGAGCGAGCGGGTGTCGGAGACTTCCGATGCACGTCGATGCGTGTCCATATCGCTGCGATTCTCAAGATAGCATATCTCTTCACACCCCTCATAACGGCATTAACGATGTTGATCGGACGATGATGGAGTTGCATCGATGCAGAATGACGGTAGGGAAAGAGCGAACCCGACAGCGCTACATGTAGCCCCGTTTCTTCATGAAGGCGCGAGAGAATGTCAAAGTTGGAATTCGCAAACATGAATTGGAGTCTTTACGCTAATGTACTGAATCAATGCTTCTTATGATCATTGAACGACACCAGACATTTAGTGAGGAGCCGCATACCCTCCCGCATTAGGGTCATCAGTAAGCACAACGTAAAAGCCCAACGGACAGATCAAGTCGCTTTGCTTGAACGTCAACGTCGTGTCTTCGGAACACAATGCTCCACTGACAGTCACCTTGCCAATACCAGGCGGTATTCCACACGGCGCACCGTTGATAACGTAGCTGTTGCCTGGCTTCAGGACTGGCGGTGGGTTGGGCGGACTGGGGCCTGGAGCCGGTTGCTTGTTGTACGTAGTAACACCAGGCTCTGCACCAGCGTTGATGGCATAACCAGTGAACGTGAAATGCCCAGGTCCTTTGAAGACGAAGAGACCGGGTGCTTGGACGAGAGAAGGGAAGTCGAAGACGAGGTTGCAGATTTTGCCTTGGGTGGCGTCGGAGTCGAGCTCGAGGTTGAAGATTGTGCATTTGTCTTTTGGGGTGACGGTCGCCCATTCGGTAGCTGGGTAGGCCTTGTCGGGGTTTCTCGCGCTGATGGGCACCAGGGCTGAGGTCGATATGCTTCCCTTTGGTAATTTCCCGTCGGGTTGAGCTGGGTTTGCCGGACATTTGGCAAGACCCTTGAGGACGCCCAATGTGCGTGGTGTGATATCACTTGGCGCAAGTGTGGCTGGGGCAGCGATGGCCGTGGCCAGGAAGGCCGAGAAAAGCGTGAAGGTCTTCATGATGAAGCGAGGGAGTCCGATTTGATGGCTTTGATAAATCGATCAGGTAGGATGAGTGGTTCAGAAACCAAAGCGAACGCGTGGTTGACTTCAGGAAGTTTACTCTCTCACTTTATACTTCTCAATTTTTCCATACCATTATTCCAGCTCAGGTCCGTCAGGCTGGCTCGCACATCGGCAACGATCGTCCAACGTTCGCGTACCGAGTCGTATCCTCGCCTACACATCCGAAACAAAGGACCTATCATCTAAAAGTAAGCTGACAAGCAGATATTTCTTGACTCCAAAAATGGCAAGCCCACTGACGCCTCCAATTCATACGATTTGCCAGGAATGTCAGGCAGGACTGAGTAGGTTCTCAGGTGAGACGTGGCTAGCTGGGTAAGCTCTGGATTCGGGCGGTAGTATCGTGACCCTGCGCTCATTCCTGTAAAGTCAGACGTCTAGACGATGTTTTTGAGTACTATTGGTGGTTGGCCGTTTCATGCAGCAAAGGATACCGGAACCCCACCTTTTACCCGTTGACGCGAGTATTGACTAAGCATTCCCAAGACTGTTGGAGTCGTCCGTGATGCAGTTCAGTATTGAAATGTGCCTTTTCAGAGCTGGGTAAGTCTGCTCAAGCTGGACGAGGGCATCTGTCGGAGGCATTCGGCATGCCGCAATTAGCTCGTTGTGTTTCCATGGTCGTGTCGTAGCTCCTGCATCCAGATACTAGACGTGCGCCAACGAACCGAGCACCCGTAGAAGGAACTATGCTAGATGTCCCTGGTGCGCGCTGATCTAGCGCAAAGCTTGAAAACTGTAGAGGGTGGCGTTCGCAGCGCGGCGACGGTGCACGGCTGATGAAACAACCATGGCTATCGAAATATAGTTCGTGGCCGAAACATAGCTTCCAGGCTACGCTTCCAACAATTATCGCCATGCAGGGTCATCACCGTCCGTGATGAGGTGGTGGTCGAAGTTGATGTGCAAGAGAACGTGGGGTGAAGTTTTGGTGTTCTTAGGAAGCGACCTCGAGAGTTTGCAGTAATCGATGGGCAGCATTCGCTACGGCGGTCATGCGTCATCGCATCGCATGCAGCGCTATCCTTGACTTTGCGGCACTGAAAGAAGCAGGCACGTTCGCAGGAGCATAAGCAAAGAAGACATGCCTATAAGCTGACGCTGTGTAGCCATGTGCGACGACATCGCATGCCAGAGCAGATCATGACTACCGTTGAGAGGCCACAAGGTCCAAGTTCAATTAGCATCGGTTCGAGGTTTCCATTGGAAAGCCTTTCAGACTAGGAGTCAAGCAAGAGGAAAAGGTGGATGGGGATTGAGGGACAATGTTGCATTTCATCAAGTTCAGAGGATTGCATAGAAGCGTCACGATCATGAGGCACGAAAGATTATTTTCCAAGTTCTTATTCAACCACACCATCCCCGGACTAATTACAATTACCCTTTCCGACACCAAGGATATCTACTGAAGTGAAGACCAATCCTCGATGCAATGTATCGTGTAAAGTCATAGCCTGCCCGTAGACAGGCTCAATTGAAGGTTATGACATTTACAAGAAGAAAGCAGCGAAAGCACCAACACCGGCAACGAAGCCACCGACGTTGAGAGCAGAGGCAGCACCAGTGAACTCAGCGGGGGTGGAGGGCTTGACGTAGCCACCGGTCTTGGTGGGGTAGCCAGTGCCGGCAGCAGGGGGAGCACCAGTGCCAGCAGGGACAGAGGGGTAGGGAGCACCGCCGGCAGGGGCAGATGGGTAAGGAGCAGAGCCGGAAGGCTTGCCAGCACCGGGAACCATGGGGTAGCCGGAGGGCTTGCCAGCACCAGGAACGACGGGAGTACCGGTGGGGTAGGGGACGGTGACGGTGATGGTGGTGGAGCTGAGGCAAGAGGTGGTCTCGGCCTCGGGGACCTCAGGGGTCATGGAGGAGGCAGGGTAAGAGGGAACCTCAGAGGTGGCGTGCTCAGGAACCTCGGGGGTCTTGGTGGAGACGGAGGGAACCTCAGCGGGCTTGGAAGGAGTCTCCATGGGGTACTCAGCAGGCTTGGAGGCCGAAGGAGTAGGCATAGCGGAGGACTCGTGCTCAGGGACCTCGGGGGTCTTGGAGGCGGGGTACTCAGGAGCAGGAGCGGAGGGAGTCTCAGCGGGGTAGGCTGGGTACTCAGGAGCCTTGGAGCTCTCAGCAGGGACCTCAGGGTACGCGGGCTTGCTGGACTCGGGCTGAGCAGGGTAGGCAGGGTAGGCCGGGGCAGCGGGGGTGCTGGCCGGGGCGGCGGGGTAGGCGCCGTATTGGGGAACGGCAGCGGCAAGGCCGGCGAAGGCAGCGATGGCGATGGAGTAACGCATGTTGATTGTTGGGTATTAGAACTTGAAACGGTAGAGTTGGAAGTGTTGGTTGGTGGTGGAGGTGGTGGGAGAGAGTTGGCGAGTGTGTATTATTAATGATAGTATTAGTTGGTAACAACGAATGGACGACCGAAGGTCAAAGGACTTGAAGCTCGAAAGTTTGGCTGTGAAGTGGAAAAAACAGCAAGGCGACCTCGCTGCCTGGATATATACCGTCAGGAGATTACAGCACGGTAGCGCGGACCGGAAACAAGTGGCCACTGAAAGGGGGAAACAGGACGGGCGACAGGGGCCGAAGCATCTGGGCGCTGCAAGTGGTCTGGCGGATGTCAGGGCTAATGCAGGAACCAAGCTGGCCTGCCGCCCCGCTGGCCACTCGCAGGCGGTGCGTGCCTGGTGCTAAGACCAGATCGGCAGGTTGGCTGTGGAGGCTCGCGGTGGCTTCTCGTGTTGCAGAAATGAACGGCCTGTGTTGGTCGTTCAGTCCAGACTGTGTTGTTGTCGTCTTGCTACACACAGGCCGCCATCCCCAGGCCGGCGGCTGTTGTTCTAATTACGCGCTATAGGCGGAGGAACGCAGCATTTCCATTTCGAGAACATCGCGAGGCACGTTTGCCCTCACGGCCTCTGCTCTGTGCGAGCTGAGCCTCTAGGTGGCGATCTCGTCAGGGTATCTTCAGGGGCGGCCCTTATCGTGTTGCCCGTTGAACAGAGGTTCTCCACCGGCACTTGGGCCTCCCAGCAAAGCCTCTGGAGATCATTTTCCTGAAATAGTGTCTTTACGGTGTCAGTGTTGCAGAATCTGCAGGGTGCGTCAGCGCATGTTTAGTTTTGCAAACATCTCATTGCGCCGTTCACGCACGCTCGAGCCTGTGAGAACCAAACAACACACTTGGTCTTTTGCTTACGGAAGACGTCACCTGCCCTTGATGTTGTTTTCGCGCCGGAGCCGGTGTTGCACGACCGAACGGTCCTTTGTGTGAGGCGCCGTGGCTCCAGAATCGATAATGGCATTGGCCACGCCACTTTGCCGAGGGTGGAGATTAAGCATTAGTCGCTTACCAATGCGGTCTAGCCGCTTTCTGCGCTGTCCCCTTTCGTCTCCACCACGCCCTGTGCAGTCGACCTTCATTTCGGCCTCAAGTCCAGCGCCTTTACGCCGGCGGTACTTCACGATCCGATCTCCAGATTCCGTCATAGTCGTTGCCATAGTTTGTTAGTCGGATTACTCTTTTTGCGCGCTTCAGCTTCCATGGCCGGAGCAGCAATATGGCGCCTTTCGTTTTGACCACGATGCGTGTTGACCGCCTCGCATTCATTTGCATGTGCCGCACACCTGCATTCAGCCGGAAAACGCTCCGGTGGGCTTCGGCGACAACTGCCAGGAGACCCTCCCATTCGCTTTCTCCGCTGCCACATAATCAATGCCGATCATATAGATGCTAAGCGCACAGCTGGCTTGATCAGGCTCGTGATGGAGCGGCTTCGTCGTAGCGAGATAAGGCGGTCAGATCATTCGACATCGAGAACGGAGTTGCGTATGAGCAGCTTGTGATTGGTGCACAACTGTGTCTCTGGCACGAGCTCGTGACCCACACGGACGCCTGAACAACTGTCGGCATTTGACTTGGTCGCGAAGCATCCGATGCACATCTCATAGTACACAGAGTTCTGTTCTTCCTGTGTATACTTTCTTGCGTTGCATCGTTCTTCTCCAAAGCGACTGTTCTTCCCCGACTGGATGGCTTCCATAGCCACTGCTAGCTGTGCCTGCCCGAATCTGTGGAGGTGCCACCCTCGGCTGCATGGAGACCCCGGCCTATGTTGACCATTTCTCGGCCTCTCGAAGGACCACCTGCACCCGTCACACCGCCACTGGAATATGCCACCAGCACTTCCATCATGCCTAGGATTTCTGCCTGTGGATGTTGCTCCAGCACGGTTCATGCCAGAAGCTCTGTTACAACTCCAAACGATCAAGACAGTGCTGGGTCTTCACCCGAGGGACGTGACCCAGGCCCTAACTTCTCTACTCACCCACATCGCCCTACCTGCATGGAACTGGAGATGCGATTACTTACCTATTTACATACCGCAGGAGACACTTGCAGATCATACGCCAATGTAAACTCGCGAGCTCCGCCCGGAACCTGAGCAAAGGAAGCCACGGTGAACGCCAGTCCATATCCGAAGCCACCGATTCCCAGTGGTTGATAATCACGTCGCCCGAGCGCCTATAGCAATCCTTCTCATGCGACACGGTTGCCCAGTCTATTGTCTTGGTTGAGTCAAAAGCTGAACAGGACTTGTGAGCAAGTACGGACAAGGTGTGATGCGAGTGTGTTCAAAAGATACGCGGTCAGATGTCGTGACACACGTGCTGCACTCAACAAGGTAAGAGTGAGATGTGCATTCAGAAGACGATGCGCTACCGTAAAGTGTGGAACCATGAAATCAGCGACCAAGGTTACAACCAACACCAATGACTGGACAAGCATCACATTACATGCGACCATGGAACCGTGGTTCAAACCGTACGGCTTCATTCCGCGATGAATCTTGCACCTGAATACAATACAAAACCCTTTGCACCTGCATTTCCCAGTGATACCCAAGGCAACTTCCATTCAGAGAAAAAAAATATGCTAA